GAAAAATTAGTCACGGATAAGTCCGTGACTAGAATATATATAAAAAAATAGTCACGGCTTTGGACCGTGACTACTACGTCAGAGAAGTTTTCCGACCTATTATTAGTCACGGCTGGCGATCGTGACTATTCCGTGACTAAGTTTAGTCACGGTTAATGTGGCAGTGACTGTATTTAGTCACGCCCATTAAGTCACGGAATTAGTCACGGCTAGCGACCGTGACTATATCTGTTAGTCACGGAAAATTTGAACTGCTGTCCGTGACTAAGTCCGTGACTACGCGCGTGTTTTTTTGTAGTGCTAAATCCAATTTATAATAAATCAGAACTATCATACGAAATGAGTGTGGTAAACAAAACAAATACTATCGTAATAATTTATTCAATTCGTGATTTGAATTCAAAAGCTCTAATTTGAATTTGAAAATATAAAATGTGATTTACATAGAATGGTTTTTTATCAACAAGGTTAAATGTCACACAGCGCACATGAGTCTATCCCTCCCATATTACAATGCATCGTGCATATTGATGAGTGATGACATTGAAGATGCTCTTAGTTCACTTAATTAAATTGGGTAAATAACAATAATTAGTACTTCCTATGTCCCATTTTATAAGATATCTTTCATATTCACTTGGTCAACACAAATCACTCTTAATCTCTAACTTTATATATCAAAATTTTATGAAATCTGAATTATTCCTTGCAGTCTTTGTACTGTAGTGGTTTTAATGTAGTCTCTGAATATGTAAATTTTATTTTCTAAAACTAATTTGAGTGTTGACAAGAATCAATTTGTTTTATCGTCGGTCAATCATCGTAAACCGTAAAGTGCCTTATAATTCGGGACGAAGGGAGTATAACTTACCACACATGTAAACATGTAGTCTTTTTTGTTCCTTCTGCTCAAAACTTAAATTGTTGACATTAAACCGCAAGAGGGAAGAAGGACACCCAATGCTGTTGTGGTTTTCATAGACAAAATATTGACCCAATCGCTTTTCAGGGTATTACTCAATTCGTCCCATAAAATAGTTCCGCATTGACTTGGATTGGAGTTTAAGAAAGTGGGAATAAAATGAAAATGTATGGTTGTGGTTATGTAAGAAAAAGGTAAATGAATGTAAGTCACACAAACTTTCTAAAAGAGGAAATGAGAATTATTTTTTGGGACGGTCCAAAAAGGAAATCAAAAACTATTTTGCGGGATGTTGATGTGATATGGAAAATGATGTGTTATATAGAGAGGCATTGTTTCTAGTATAACTCTAATTTCTAAACATTGCCCTTGTGCTTGCGTTTAATTTATAATATTCTTGTTGTTTAAATGTTACGGAGTAGTACTACGTATTATGTACACATTCACCCAAAAATTAAAATATCCTGTTATTGAGATATATGTAAAGAAATATGTAATAAATAATTACATTAATATTGTTTATTGTAATATATTCGATCACATTCCTACATTCAAAGCCTCGTACATGTTTTTTGAAAGAGGATAAATGTAAAGTACTTTCAAGACCTTGATATTATTAGAAAAAGAGAACTAGACAGCCGGAAGAAGATGCATATATTTAAATATAAATACACCAAACACAGTCAAAAACTGATCGCTTTCAAGCCAGATACGGATCCTTAAGACCATTTGTAGTGGTTATAGATTAGGAGTCAAAAGATTAAAAATGGAATTTTTAGACTCTTAATTTGTTGTAGTGGTAGATTAAAAGGGGGAGTAAAAGTGGGAATGTGAGTGGAAGGGTGTATAAATAGAGGGTTAGGTTGACAGGGTTAAAGAAAAGCAAAAAGAAAAAAAGAAGAAGAAAACGCGGCACTCTTCTGATGTCTGCTGTGTTCATGCGTTCTGGTGACATCATGATGATGTCACGCATATGTCATTAAAATCTCAATTAATTTTAAACTCTTATAACTTTTTTATTTGTTCTCCGAATTTTTCAAAAATTATATCAAAATTCATGAATTTGTATGATCTTTCATATGAGACCAATATGTAATATATAAAATGCAAAAAAAAAAAAAATTAACTGTTGAAGTTTTCTTGAACCCAAAAAAATACGAAATACAAATTTTTAATTCATTGAGCTTTCACAAATACTAGTTGGATATTCCATAATCCAATTTTATCTGAACTATGTTCATTTTTTGTTAACAAAAAATCATATAAAAAATTAGTGAAATTTATTTTTTTTACTTCGAAATGTGTATTTTTTATTTCATAATTATCCAGGGAAAAAGTTAAAAGGAAAATATTACTTATAATAATTTAATTAATGTTTTACTAAATCGATATGTAAAAAATATGCAGAGTGTATTTTATTGACGGTGCACGGATGCAGGGGAAAAAAGTATTGACGGAGTCTAAACATTGTTTTCATATGGACGGAGTCCAAATTTAACAATTTGGACTCTTGACCACTACAAATGGTCTAAAAGCAATCTATTAAGTCTACAAAAATGACTGTTCGAGCAAAATTCAACACCAAGTTTTAGAGTTCAATTAGATACCTATACTAGAAAATTATAGTCCATTTTAAAAGTCTGATTTGAGTTTTCAAGCAAAAGTTATTTTATTTAAACTAAAGTTAGCTAGGAAACCATGTCTGTTACTTTTAAAGTCCCGTTTAAGATTAAGCTTTGTGGCTAAATGCTTCCATACTTATATATGTCAATTCAAAATGATTATTATATTTGTTTTTGGAATGGATTGACATTTTCTTATAGGCGGAGTCAAGGTCTCAAAGGTGAAAGAAATCATGTCAAGAAATTACGTTTCAGTTTTTTATTTTTACTTGAAAGCATATCATAGAAGTGTAGAAAAATACTTGTGCATATATAAGTTAAAGTAGTTTTAAAGCTGAAGAAATCTGTAAAGGATACGCGTAAGCGATGAGAACCCTGTTACGATCGATCAGAGAGAGGCAGGGATGATTCTTACTCTATTTTAATTAAATCGATGAGAGAGTTGAAAAATAAATTAAGAAGCGGGAATGAACTAATAAGATTTCTCACGTTGTCAAGAAATTGCAAAATTAATTATCTCATAAAGTGTTTACTAGTTTAACTAAGAACTCATTAGAGCATCTCTAATGCTCCACTTTCAACACTAATAAATTTATGCCACATCATCAAATTAAAAAGCCGTGTGAGAAAAAGTTCTCCAATGCAGCCTGTATGCGTTGCTGTCGTGCGTACGTGTCAAAGAAAATGTCAACCCCACTTTCGGATTTCAGAAAGCCATTTACACTGGCTGAGTCAGCTATTTGAAAGGTATCACGTAAAATCTGGACATTCGATTAATCATTTGGGTGAAAAAAACTGGTGCGGCTTTGAGAAAGAGGCGGCAAATCGGCAATGTATACGGATATTATTCCACACAGATCCCCTCCATATCTCCGTTACTGCTTCTCGAAGCTGCTAGTTGTAAAAGTCTTGCAACCCAAGACGAGAAAAGTAATCCATGGAATAGTTTTCACAAGTCATTGCGTCAATTTTCTATTCCATGGTTTTCAGTTTGATTGAGATCAAGTAAGCAAATAACCTACTGTGTGAATTTGTTGTGAACATCTCTCGAGGGATTCTGATTTTTTGCAAATTAGAAGAATTAAGATTGAAAATAAATGTCAGAGGTGCGGCTGAAGTCGAGCAGGAAAATAGCAGAGCAGTTTGCCGATCGAGGAATCTTTTTTCTTTTAAACTTCATTATATTTAATTTGTATTTAATAAATGCCACATAAGAAATACAGTTATAGTTTGACGGTATGGGCTGGAGAAGGTTTTAGACTTTTAATTTATTATGATTTGACCTTTGCCTTATGTGGCTTGACATTCCATACATTTTTTGCCATGTGTCAATTATTTAGTAATGTTGAAAGCAAAGCATTGGAGATGCTCTTATATAGATATTAACGGTTTCCTAGAAATAAACGGAATCTGATCTAAATTGTTATTCTAAAAGAATTACGGAGTATAATAGAGGGAGACTATTCCTAGTAGGCCTAATTATATTAATTATTAATACTAATACTAATCCTACTAGAACTCTTCTGCGTTTTGGGCCTTTTTCCTTAACCACTTTGTTCCTTAACTTCATCTATTCCTCTTCCGCCCCTTAATTTTTATGTACAATTATAAAACCAGTCGGTAACATCACTCCCCTCCTTGAGAAAGAGTTTGTCCTCAAGCTTTAATTCGGGTACATATTGGAGTGGCTCCCATGTTGCCTCGTCTAAGTGTTGCCCGTGCCAATGAACCAAGAGCTCCCAACTCTTATTTAACAAACAGCTGCGAAGAATCGCCTAGGAATTGCGGTGTCATTTTTGCTAGGTGTTAGAAGAAGACTGGTCATGGTATTCAAAGGAGGTCCCTAGTGCAGCTTGAGAAGGGAGACATGGAAGACATTGCATATGTGAGCATTTCACTACAATAAAATAGATTTATAGAGGCGGGACATAATTGCCTCTAAAGGCATGAAAGTAGCCTAATGATTTTTTGGGACAAAATATTGGTTGTCTCTAAGGTCTCCCTAAAGAATCCGTCCCTAAATGATGGTTGCCTCTAAATCGACATTTAGAGGCAACCAAATGTTTGATGCAAAAGGATACGCAATTAGAGGCAACCATAACAACTTGCTTCAAAACATCATTTGAGGCAACTACAATATCAAGCCTCTAAACATCATTGGAGGCAACCAATTTCTAGTCACAAATTACAATTAGAGGCTAACACAATATGGTGTTCCAAAACATCTTTAGAGGCAATGTCATATTTAGAGGCAACCATTATTTAGGGTAAAGATTATTAGTAATAATTGATTGTATCAATATAGTTCATACTTATCATATTTAGAGGCAACCATTAATGGTATTCTATAATGAATAATATATTATTGATATTAATTTTTTTTATTTAAATAGTACAATACTTGATTATTTGTTTTTTGAAAGACAATACTTGATGATTTAGAAATAAAAACAAGGAGACACAAATGAAATAATACTAGATTTATATCACTTCAATAAAAATAATATTTAATCATTCAATAACTAAAATACATCTGTAACTTTATATGACTATTTCCATCAATACAGATTCACAATTAACCAACAAATCTTAGTATGAAGTCCGTCCTATTCTATCGTCTACTAACCACTACGACAAGAAAAAAAAATAGAATCAAGTATAATCAATTATATTCTTCTGCCTGCATTTCGCCATCTTCATGAAGTATAATCATTTATCTTCTTCTGTCTGCATTTTGCTATCTTCATCTGTCTGAAATATTATAAGCAATAAATTAGTCTTTGTAATTAAAAATAAGAAGGAATGAAATTAAGTAATGAGATATCTCACTAGTTATTAGTTGAGAACATATACATCTCATAATGTTCAGAAAGTTTGTGAAATACAACTGCATAAACATTAGCACACTTTGAACCAGTTCAACTTAATGTTGTGTACAATTTGTAGCTGACTTCACCTTTTACTATGTAAAAGAAATCCAGACAAAAAGGAAAAAAAGACATACATTTGATCAAAATGCAAGTGCACTAGCTGAATAAACATCATATTAGACAAAAAGGAAAAAAAGACATACATTTGATCAATCTGCTATATTAAAACAAAAGAAGTTCTAACTAAATGACCTGATATTATTGTCAATCTGGAATTCAAGGCATTCCAGTTTTTTTCAAAAAAAAACAAGATATAAGAAGGGAAGAGTCATTGTCAGTCATGGCATATAGAGCGAAACAAATTTGGGATAATGATAGGAGCTCAAATATTCAGAACTCAGGGGATATGAATTTTGGCGGAGTATATGTTCGAAGGAGTAAATAAAGCTGTAGTATTAGTATTAGAAAGTAAATATTTTGGGGACTACGGTCTTTGTAATTGTTCATATTCTCTCTCTTAATTATAAAACTACAGATTACTTTCTTGATCTTTCTTGGTGAATTGTTACAGAATTGATCAATTCTATCACATAATAAGGCTCACTATTTTTAAATGCTTCTATTAACTTGGGATAGCTAGAATAAAAAAGTCCAATATACAAATGTTCCGATTAAATGGCCATTGTAATTCAATATATCACTTGCCGAAAGAAAGGTATTGGCATAAGAAGACTCACCATTTTCCTAAATAGGTTACGCTACCAATGGGGAAGAAACTCATACTTGTACCAGTACAGAATACTTCATCAGCGTCAAGAAATTCCTATATGAACAAAAACTGTTCTTCAACCTGGAAACCTTGGCTGACAGCCACATAATATCAATAAATCTCTTTCAGGTTAATCCGAGCAGGATGGTCTTTTCTATTGCTAAGAGTTACAATTGAAGCACCAGATAAAATCATTAAGAATTAATAAGGAATACATTTATGCACCTCAGATAAAGAAGCAAACAATGCCAAGATGCCTTCCCAAGTATTTAGATCGGTTAGAGTTTTTACAAATGACATTTAAAGCGATTCAATCACAACCTGCCAAAAAATATGCATCTAGCAAAGAAGTAGCTTAATGATATGAACTTTTGGAAAAGAAAAAGGGCTCTTAGTATTTTACACCAACTAGCAGTATTTCGTAATATCACTGTGCATATGTGTTATTAGACGTACAGAAGCTCTAAATCAGAATTTGCCTACATACTTGATCGGCCAGAACAAGAAAAGCTCTTAACATTTGGAACAAACACCAGTTTGGTAGTAAATTTGAAATGCTGGTAAGTGAAAAACTGAAGACAATTCAGCACTTGGAATATGATGGTCCTACAAAGAAACACTATTTACATTCAAACTTTTGGAGACTAAATACATAAACTTACTAATATGGCAGATTAGTCGGGAATAACGGTGAGCCAGCACATCCTAAAAGTGAAATACCGGGGTAGATTGTAATTTGCACAAGCAGATTCCAGAGCTTTGTAATGAAGCACTGGAAGCAACGAAAAACATAAGCACTAAAGAGTAAGAAGACCCAGAACTAAGAAAAGAACCAGATTTGGAGATATGTTGCATGCTACTGCAGACCCTGAAATGGTGTATTCCAATATCATCACCCATCCAATCAACCAAACAACATTGAGATAAAACCGCATTAGAACACGCAGCATACCTAGAGAAGTTATAAGGTTTTTCCGCTGGAACCTACATGAAGCTATACCCACAGTTACTGCACATATCTCAGATTATTAGAGCATAAAATATGAAACTTTATGCATTAACCTACTCCAATGCATATGTAAGAATAGTGATGGGCACTCCCTGCAGAAGGACAATGACTTGCAAGCTCAGCGTAGCAGAAGGCAGAAAGTGATGCCGCTATCCCAGCAATAAAAAAGGAAAGGGTGAGTGATGGGCTTGTCTGCTCTCTGGCAACAGTCCCAAACACCCAACTATAATATACACACCAGCACCAACTGTGGAACCAACACCTATACAAAATTATGCAATGAGACAGGTAAATATCAATGCTTATGCAAATACCAAAAAGCACAAAACCATAAAAGTCAATAGTCAAATGATAATTTGTGGACATAAAGTTACAATCCACAATTGAGTTGAAACAAGGGGCTGTGACTCCCTGTGAGATACACACACTAACCTGAATAAATGTTTGACTGTTTACCGAAACATAACAAAATGACTCACAATTCTTGAACACATTCATTTACAGTAATATAGAAATTTATAGCTTTAACAATTGTAATGATAATTTATTAAAAATCAAAAATTAGAAGAGAAGACATACCAGATCCCACATGAAATCAGATGACCAAGGTCAAAGGTTTCAAAAGTTTGATTTCTGTAAAAAGAAAATCACTATATAGAGGATTTCACACTGAATTGGAGATGAATTAAGATTAATAATTACCCATTGATGAAATACGGACAGAAAAGATGAAGACGAGACCCACTCGCCTAGCTTGAGGAACAGTTGTCTTCACGCTGAGAAATAAGCTAGACTTGTCGGCTGCTCTATTCGCCCTCTGCTACAGGACGATGGATGTGAATGATAGGCGGCAAAATTTTAGGTTGGCCGATTGAGATGCCTACACTCGAAAGGAATTAGGGTTTCGCCGGTTAACTTAAAAGTTAAAACTGCTTTGCGGCGGGAATGGTGAAAAATGAAGGCGGCAAATATTTTGGGGGGAAATTTGTTCGGATGGTGTGAAGAGTGAAGACTTGCCAGGACACAAATTAGGCTAGGCAATTTTTTTTTAAGAAAATACGTAGTGCTCGTATTAATTACTGTTAGCTTTGAGAGCCTATATGGTACAACCGGATGTATATACATCCGGCCCAATTAGGAAGACAACCCAATAAGCAGTACAGACCATTTTTTTTTCGGTGGCACTTTTGTAATTTAAGTGAAAAATCACGACTTACGCTAAATGAGCAATATTGTAATTTTGGTGAGCATCTAGCCTATTTGATTGAGCATTAAGAGGTTAACAATGAGTATAACAATTTCTGCTTCATATCTTCTATTTTTTTCTTTTTCTATTATTTTCTTTTATAAAAACTAATTAAATTATATCTATTATCTACTCCTATTAATTTAAATATGCGATTCTAATGTAATACGATACTTTTGAAATATGCATTGATATGACATTTAAAAAATGAGCATATCATCAGTATCAAATGAGCATACATAACTTAGAAAGGGCACATTGATATGAAAATCGTAAAGTTTGTTAGTTGAACATTATGACATTTTAATTGAGTATCAAACCTCCACTATTGAGATCAAAGTCACGACTTCTGGAGAATGAGTAATATTGAACCTTTAATGAGCAACCAACCTACTCTGTTGAGTATTAGGAGTCTAATATTCAGAATCGTGATCTCTGCTGCATAATTTGTAATTCAGTTTCTTTTTGTTATTTTTTATCGTAAGGTTTGTTAGTTGAACATCACGACAATTTAATTGAGCATCAAACATCTGCTATTGGGATGAAAATCATAGTTTCTTGTGAATGAGCATTAATGAACTTTTAATGAGCATCGAACCTATTATGTTGAGTATTAAGAGTCTATCATAAAATAATACTTTTAAAAATGCATTGATATGACATTTAGAAAATGAGCATAAGATCAGTATCAGATGAGCATATGTAACTTACAACATGAGTATTAATGAATTTGTTAGTTGCTTTGCTAGTTGAACATCACAACATTTTCATTCAACATCAAAACTCCTCTATTTTCGGCGAGCATCAAATCCCCATTATTGAGTATTAGAATCTGCGTTTGAGTATCATGATTTGTGGTCTCGTGTCTATAATCAACGCTTATATAAATCTAATGTAATATGAGATTTTTGAAATGTGCATTGCTAAAACATTTTAAAAATGAGCATAACAGAGATACTTAATGAACATACATAATTTACAAAATGAGTATTCAAAAATTCAAAAGCTCATTTGTGTATGTTCATTTTTTAGACGTTTTATTCATTTGATTTTAATGTAGAATTCATTTCTAATGTGCTTGGTATAATATAAAAAAAGTAATCAACAAATAAACAAACGAAAAGAAGTAAATAAAAAGACTAAACAAAATAAAGTAAAATCAACTAGCTAGGTAAAAGTAAAGAAAAAGTCAAAGCAAAAAAGACAAAACTAGATGACGGTTGTGCACAAAGCAAAAAGCAAAAAGAAAAAGTAATCAGAATGGATGGCGGTGCAGAGCTCTTCGGAGTTCCAGGCGCAGCAAAATTTGATCCATAGCAGGAAACGACCGACTCGGCTCTTTCACCGTTCCCTTCTCCTGTAACAACAACGGCTGCCAACACCAATATATTACAAAAATACCCGGTTGTACCATGCTCAAGGTACAGCCGGTTGTAGGATATAATTTGCCGTTAGCTTTTAGGATGTTTGTACTTGGACTGTAATTTGCTGGTATGGTCTGGTCTGATCTGGTCTGGTCTGGTCTGATAAGGTCTGGTTTCATTGTATTTTTATAACTATCCAAGTCTGGTCTGGTCTGCTCTGGTCTGGTCTGGTCTGGTCTGGTCTGGACTGGACTGGTCTGGTCTGGTCTGGTCTAGGGCAAATTACAGTCCAAGTAAAAACATCCTTAGTGACCGAAAAGATCTTAAAAGGAAAATGTGGTAACTGTTTGATAAAAAGTTGACTGTTTGATTTAGTTCGGTTTGGTATACAAGCTGTTAGGACTATTTAGTACTAAAAGTCACGGGCTTTTCTCAGATGCTACTCCCCGTGGCATCTCAAAAAGATCTTTTAATTTTTGAAAAGTTCTTAAAAATTGTCATGTCAAACATACAACTAAAAGCTTTTAGAGACTTTTTGAACAGTAGAAAAGTTAGAAGACAGAGACTTTTGCATGCCAAACATAGCCTAAGACATTTAGAATGTGATGTTTTGTGAGTGATTACGTTTTGCAACAAACTTTTAGAGACTAACCCTAAAAATATTGCTTCAAATTGTACCTTTTTTAGACAAATAATCTACAGCTACCTCAAATTAATTCTGAGCTTATACCGATGATATTAGTCAAATTAAAATCCTATGTGGGGAAAATAATTTTAATTGGATTAAAAACTCAAATTCTAAAGTTAAAGAGTCTTTAGAGCCAAAAATGATCGAAATACAGCTAACCACAAAGTAAATATTTTAAAGACATGAAAGTTAATGATAGTGACCACATACTTTTGCAACAATTTTTAGAGACGCCTTTAAAAAAGTTGATTCAAGTAATACTTTTTAGGGGTGACTATACTTTTGCAACAAACTTTTAGAGACAGCTCTAAAAAGGCTGCTCCAAATAATAACTTTTAGAGACAAAAGAATCATGGTTGCCTCAAATGTATTGAGAGCTTATAAGATTAGAGGCAACCAAGATTTGTATGATGCTAAAAGAGTGTTTTAGAGGCAGGTTGCTTCAAAGTATTGCCTCTATAAGGGATTTTTCTTGTAGTGTTTGTTGGCATTAGTAGTTTGAAAGCAGTTTGACCAAGGCGCTCAAAGGAAAGCTCGGGCGCGGTGGCCTTTGTCGAACTGAAATTTCATGCATCGTTGTGCTTGAGTTAATCTTTCCCCAGAGCTTTTGAGAAGGGTATCACGATCCCCAAGCTCCCTACCAACCTCCTCAACCTTGTTTGTCCCAAGCATATAGGATAGAATACAGGGTTGGCCGTCCACTACAAAAAAAAACACAGGATTGACAAGGATTCGCCAAAATTCATAGTGGATTTGGTAGGGATATGTTAAGTCCGTGCCAAAAACATTTTGGCATGAGCTATTTGGAACAAAATCATCGTTCAATCCGTGCTAATCCCGTAATTTTTTGCAGTGCCCTCTCCCATAAATCAATCGAACGGGGTGTTTAAAATAACCTTTCTTCACTTCTTCTTCTCTTGAAAGTTTTTTTTTGGTAAATATAGAATGTGTACCATATGAGACCAATTACATTTTCACTTGAAAAGTATCTATAGTAATTGCACTTGAAACTATAAAATTAGGCATTTGAAAAATGTGCATGTCTCTTAAATTTCAATTGAAACCATGGCAAAGGCCGGGGTTAGAAAATTTAATCAAACTAAACATTCATACAAATTTATTATACTACATCCGTCCCTTTTTCTTTGAAAGGAAAAACCACTTATATTAATATCATTGGGATTCAGATTGTGACACCGCACCCGGATGTACTTGAATTTGAAATGTGACATGTATTTGAATTTCCTAGCGAATAAATTTCGTGTAATTGGTTGGTATATTTAATTAATGTGAGATTAATTAAATTATTTATCGGGTCCATAAAATGAGAACGGACTACCAAAATATTTAGTTGGGTCATCATAATAATGTTAGGAGCCCAATAATGTGCCAACCGAGGTTGATAAAAATATTTGGACAACCCGAGTGCTATTTTGACCCGACCGGCCAGAAATAGCAGGAATAATTGGGAGAAAACTTTCTACACCCATTTGGGTATCCTACACACTAATTAGACTCAAATGATAAGGGAGGGGGCCACACATGTTGTTTTGTGCGTGCATGAAGGGAGAGGAAGCCTCCATGAGACAAAACCAACACCCCCATGACCCCATCACCAAGCAAATGAGTTGATTGACTTGGTGATGCCTCTCCCCTATCCTCTTCATTCTCGGCCAACCATAGGAGAAGAAGAGCTCCAAGAAACCCTCTCACCAAGGTCACAACTTGAAGGGAAAAATCTGGGAAAATCCACAAGAAGTAGCTTGAGTTCAAGGTAAGAACTCTACTACCCTTCTTTAACTAGTTTTGTGTTGTATGATTTTTGAGAAATCATATGATGGATTAAACCACGAGTTTTACACGTTTAAGGGTGTATAATATTGTTATATAGTGGTGGTAATTAACTTAGAAGAGTCGTGGAATCGATAGGAGTTGAAACCACCGGAAACCGCCAAGGAGAAGAAGCTGTTCGTAGTTGCAGACTACGAAAGCCGCCCGGCTTTGGTGAAAGCCGCCCGGCTTTTGGGCTACTGTCCAGGAATTTCACTTTCAATCGGCCTAGAACGGGGATTGATCGAGGGGCTTAACAAAGGCAACTATTGTAGCACATCATAAGGTGAGGATGGCTGACTATATTGCTTATAATCTTTGGGTTAATTTCATGAGATTACCTAAGGTAATTAAATACGTTTTTAAGGATTATTAATGATTAATAATGCCTAAGAATGAGAAGATTATTGTCTATAAGGAAAGGAGCATAATATACCAATTTGTAAGAAATTGTGTATGATTATGTGATATGAAAGAAATGGTATGGTAATGGGATTAACTATGAAAATTGTGATAAAATATACTTTTACTTCATGTATGAAATTCATGAATGGATAAAAGTGATATTTTTGATATTGGGATTGAATCATATTTGGATTAGAAAATCAATTGAGATAAACTATTTGGCTATGAATTTAGAACCTAGTTGTTCTAAGGTTATTCGACTAGTATCGAAATACTAGTCGGGAGATTTATATAAATAAATGATGGAATTAATCCTAAGAGATAGGATTGTGAATAGATATGCCTTAAGTAGTCTTAAGAGATGCTTTAAGGTCGAATTGTATGAACACTAAGGTGTGTTAGGGGTAGGCCTAAAGGCTATCCAAGTGAATTGATTCTAGGCATAGGATTTGCTTGAGAATTGAGCTATGAAAATAAATTAGAGTCGGACTCT